CTGAGCATTGGAAAAACAGCTGCTAATTGAAATGTGAATAGCAGCAGTGGTCACCCGGAAGTGACTCCAGGTTCTGAGTGCTGCTGCTGGTTAGTGTTGCTTGGGTGAGAGATGCTGTTATTTTCATTGTTGGGTTTGTACTAAAACGGGTGTTTGTTGGGTCCCCCTGATACTAAATAGGACTGCTGAGCCAAATGGGAGTGCGGGAAATCATGTAACGTTTGGCATGGCTGTATCTATAAAGAGGGTTTGTACTAAAACGGGTGTTTGTTGGGTCCCCCTGATACTAAATAGGACTACTGAGCCAAATGGGAGTGAGGGAAATCATGTAATGTTTGGTATGGCTGTATCTATAAAGAGGGCAATAAGTGCAAAACTTGGAGCAATTATCAGGGGCATTTCGCTGATTTCTATTCGGATTGTTTCACTTTGGCTTTATTCGCTAAACTGAATTAACAGGACACTATGCACCTCATACACACACACTGCCCCCCCATACACACATTGCCCCCCACACACATAAACTGCCCCCCTTACACAAACACTGCCCCTCATACACACACACTGCCCCATACACATATTGCCCCACACATACATAAACGGCCCCCATACACACATACTGCACCCCTCACACAAACACTGCCCTCCATACACACATACTTCACCCCTCACACAAACACTGCCCCTCATACACACACATTGCCCCCACATACATAAAATGCCCCCCATACACACATACTGCACCCCTCACACAAACACTGCCCTCCATACACACATACTTCACCCCTCACACAAACACTGCCCCTCATACACACACATTGCCCCCATACACACATACTGCACTCCTCACACAAACAATGCCCCTCATACACACAAACTGTCCCCAATACACACATACTGCACCCCTCACACAAACAATGCCGCTCATACACACACATACTGCACTCCTCACACAAACATTGCCCCTCATACACACAAAATGCACCCCTCACACAAACAATGCCCCTCATACACACAAACTGCCCCCATACACACATACTGCGCTCCTCACACAAACAATGCCCCTCATACACACAAACTGTCCCCCATACACACATTCTGCACCCCTCACACAAACAATGCTGCTCACACACACACAAACTGCACCCCTCACACAAACAATGCCCCTCATACACACAAACTGCACTCATCACACGCACGGCACCCCTTACCCACACACACTACCCCCCATACATTGGCTGATCGGGGGGCAATGGGGAAATTGCCCCCCTCCCCCCCCCGAGAAAACCAAGCAGACCAAGGGACTCCCTCTCCCCTGCCGGCTAATGCTAATCAGAGATCTCCCTCCCCGGTCCGCAGGCAATTTGCTGACAGTGGGCAAGGGAAGGAGAGAGGACCCGGGAGCTCAGCCTGCAGCTCCTTCGGGTCCTCTCTCGCAAGCGCTCCGGATCTCGCGAGAGTGAACTTTGTGGGCTAGAGTTCACTCTCACCACTGCGACCACCAGGGATCGAGAAATGTCCTCCCTCCTCCCTCAGTAAAGGTAAGAAGGGTGGGGGGACATAATATATATTTATTTTAATTAAATAAAACAAAAAAACCATACTATAAATAAGCCACCCTACCCTTCTTATCACACACACACCTTGCCCTCCCTACACACATACACTACCTCCCATACACACACTTCCCCCATACACACATAAACTGCCCCCATACACAAACTGCCCCATGCACACACACACTACATACACACATTGCCCCCCTACACACATACACTGCCCCTATACACATACACTGCCCCCCATACACACACTGCTCCATACACACACTGTCCCCCCATACACACTCTGCCCCCATACACACATTACCCCCATACACATACACTGCCCTCAAAAACACATTGCCCCCCCACACACATATACTGCCCCCCATACACACATTGCCCTATACATGCACTGCTCCCCATACACAAACATTGCCCCACAGACATACACTGCCCTCATACACACATTGCTCCACGCATACATACTCTGCCCCCATACACACACATTGCTGCACACACATACACTGGCCCATACACACACTGCCCCCATACACACATTGCCCCCCATACACACACTGCCCCATACACTAATTGCCCTACACATACACTGCCCCATACACACATTGCACACACACACACACACACTGCCACCCATACACACACATTGCTTCACACACACACATACACTGCCCTTCATACACACATTGCCACACACACATTGCCCCCCCCATACACACACCTATACTGCCTCCCCTACACACACTGCCCCCCATACAAACACATTGCCCTACACTCACACATACACTGCAATCCTCACACACACACACAGTGCAACTGTCACACACACATACTGACCCACATATACACTGCCGCCCTCACTCACACACTGCAACCTTCACACACACACACTGCTCACACACCGTCCCCCTAACACACACCCACATACACACACACACACACACACACACTGCACCACTCACACACACTACTGCTCCTATGCCCTACTACAGCCCCATTTCCCAGCAGGCCTCAGGTAAGTTATCAAACTGTTCTTAAACGGTTTAACTACTTACTCTGGGAGGGGGTCCTGGCACTATTGGCACCATAACCACTACACTGAGCTGTAGTGGTTATTGTGTCTGGATTATTTCTTTAAATAATCTACAAGTGTCCCTCCCGAGATCAGGCTCTGGATCCGCTCCTGCCCCCATACACATACTGCACCCCTCACATGAACAATGCCCCTCATACATGTGATGTACAAATCAGTCAATAATTCCTGTATAACGAAGAACTCACTTCATTAATACATATTGTGAGAAAAAATGTGGAATGGTTGTTGAGGGAAGATATATTAGGCCTGATTTACTAAACAGCAGCCTGAGGTTTCTCAATTAAATGCCCCAGTTAGAGATGTAAGGTTTGCATGATACATTGTTGGTACTCTGCAAAACACGGTAAGGGTCCCTTGTGCTGAGCATTTGGAGAGCAGGGTGGGCTAGTGCACCAATAGCACTAGTTGCTATTTAACAGCCAGACCAGATCTTGTATATACCTTAGGAGTTCCAGAGATGTGAACTAATTGATACTGACCTGTAGCTGGTCAATTAACAGGCAGGCTTTAAAAAGAAGGGATCAGCCTGTTGCAGGGTGAGGGAGAAAGAGCCAGAGGAATGGTGTGTCTTGCAGCTATATTTTGTTATTGTAAATTGGTAAGTGGGAAGGCCACCCAATTCCAGATAGTGATTAGTGTGTTTAGTAAGTGCTCAAACAAGAGCAAGGAATTTTGTTTTGTTTATTTTATTTTGACGCACCTGTATATTTTGCACCAAATAAATCAGAAAAGCTGAGCTGGATGTGTCCTGGACTTTGATTACCCTAGAAAGCTGTGGTTACCATAAGATCTGTGACAAAATCCTACCGGTAAAAGAGGTGGTTTGTTACAATATATAACCTGATCTTCATATTGCAGCCTTGTTACACAGGGTTTCTGCAGCCGCCATTTCAAATCCCTCGAACATTCTACCAACTGCCAACAGGAAGTAAAGAACCAAAAGAAAGGAAGTGCATCATTCACAGCCAAACAGCCCAACTGCCCATACATCACAATACATACACTCAGACACAGTCCATACATCACATCTCCTTCCTTTCTCAACAAAAGAAAACAAAACAAAATAGTAAAAAGTCAACAATAATAAAAGAACAATTTAAAAATGTTTCCTTAATCTGCATCATTCTGTCCATCATCTTCCAGATCTACATTCTTTGTTTCAGGATAGCTTATTCTATTCCTTCTAGGATACCATTTACGCCTTCTAACTGTGGAGTTTCTCCAACTATAGTCCCTTAATGGATCTTCTGGTTGCCAGCGGCTTGTGGCCCTTCTCTCTCTTGTTGAATGGTCAGTATTTTCGTGACCACAGCCTTCATAGTTACTTGAACTGTGGCTTGGCAGTTCTTGTTCCTGAGTTTCGTGGGGTATCTCCTCCAAATCATCCCCTATTACATCATGAGCCTCTGGACCAGGTGTATTGCAGACTTCAGAAATGTCATCATGCCAAACTCCATGCACTGGCGGATCCGGGGGGGGGCAACGGGGCAATTGCCCCCCCCGAGAAATCCGCCGGTCTCCCTCCCCTGCCAGCAGCACATGCAGGTGCTATCCCTGCAATGTGCCTGCGGACCGGGGGGGAGATCAGAGATCTCCCTCCCCGGTCCGCAGGCACTGTGCTGGCAGCCGGCAGGGGAGGGAGGGAGTGAGAGGGAGGACCCGGAGCTCAGCCTCCTCCGGGTCCTCCTCTCGCGAGATTTGAAGCGTTGCCGCGGTTACCACAGCAACGCTCCAAATCTCGCGAGAGTGAACTCTAGCCCGGGAGCGCGGGCTAGAGTTCACTGTAACCACTGGGACCACCAGGGAATCCCCACTGGGACCACCAGGGATGAAAATATGTCCCCCCTCCTCCTCAATAAAGGTAAGAAGGGAGGGGGGACATAGAATATTTGTTTTTTTTAATTAAATAAAGATATAAATTATAAAAAAAGCCCCCCCACCCTTAACACACACACACACACACACACACACATAGCCCCCATACTGCCCCCCCATACACATACTGCCCCCCCATACACACATACTGCCCCACATGCACACATACTGCCCTCCATGCACACATACTGCCCCCCCATGCACACATACTGCCCCCCCATGCACACATACTGCCCTCATACACACATACTGCCCTCATACACACATACTGCCCCCCATACACACACACTGCCCCCATACACTGCCGCCCCATACACACACATTGCCCACATTCACACACACACTGCAACTGTTACACACACATACTGTCCCACACATACACTGCATCCCTGACATACACTGCCCCCCCACTCACACACTACAACCTTCACACACACACACACTGCTCACACACTGTCCCCCTCACACACACACACACTGCACCCCTTACACATTGCACCACTCACACACACCACTGCTCCTATGCCCTACTACCGCCCCATTTCCCAGCAGACCTCAGGTAAGTTGTCAAACTGTTCTTAAACGGTTTGGCTACTTACTCTAGGAGGGGGTCCCGGCACTATTGACACCATAACCACTACACTGAGCTGTAGTAGTTATTGTGTCTGGATTATTTCTTTAAATAATCTACAAGTGCCCCTCCCGAGATCAGGCTCTGGATCCGCCACTGACTCCATGTCAGATATCAGTGTCTGGTTGCATGAGTGGCCCTACCCACTTTGATAGGTTGTCTATTATACGTGGTCGAAGTTGATTTGTATGTCTCCGTGTGTAACATCCATCAGAGGTTAAAACTTTACAGTGCGCTGACCCCCGAACTTTATTTTTTTTAATACTTTATTACTGCTTCTTTCCAACAATTCTGCTGATGATATACACACATCCAAACAGAATCCTCTGTGTGGTAACAATGATCTGCTTTTCCGACTTGCATCTTTGATTGTTGCTGGATGACCCTTTAATGAATCTCTGGTTTTAGCAGATCCAACTTTGTCCTGAGTTCACGGCCTAACATAAGGCATGCTGGAGGTTGTCCACTGGTTGGATGAGGTGTATTACAATACTGTAGAAGGAACTCAGACAAATGATGTTCAGGCCTCTTTCCAGCTGCTTTCAGACTTCTCAGAAAACTCTTTAGCGTTTGAACAAAACGTTCTGCTTGACCATTAGTTGCAGGATAATACGGTACTGTACGATGATGCCATATACTGTTTTCCTTGAGAAAAGCCTTAAATTGTCCAGAAACAAACTGCGGTCCATTATCTGAAACAAACACTCTGGGCAAGCCAAATGTTGCAAATAGTTTCTGTAATGCTTTAACAGTAGCTGCTGCAGTGGTCTACAACATGAATAGAACTTCTGGCCATTTAGAATGTGCATCTACCACAATCAGATACATTTTATTTGCCACTGGTCCAGCAAAGTCTATGTGAATTCAATGGTGATAGAGGCCAGGTCCAAGGTTGTACGGCACCATGTGGCAAGTCATGCTGTGCTTGTGCACAGCCTGTGCAACTTCCTTACAAAACATAACGGGCAATATCCTCATCAATGGTTGTCCACCATACATGACCTCTTGCCTTCTGCTTCATGCGGACTATGCCAGGATGACCTGCATGTAAAATTTCAAGAATCTGTTGTTGTAACACAAAAGAAATAACCACCCTTTCTCCCCGGATTAAGCAGCCATCTCGAATTGATAACTCCTGAGCCCTTGTTTGGAATGACTTGAGATGTACTGGAGTCTTTAGTGGCCAACCCTGCATACAAAAACAAGTATTTCCCTCAGCAAAGAGTCCTTAGCTGTCTCCTGTGCAATTTCTCTGGCTGTTATCACCTCACTAAAATATATTGTAGATCTTTCTGTGGTAGTTAGTTGTGAATCCATTTTTAATAAAAGTCTAGAGAATGCATCTGCATTAGAATGCAGAGCATTTGGACAATATTGTATCTGATACTGATAGGCCCCCAGAGTTAAGGCATGCCTCTGAAGTCTTGCTGCTGTTGTGATTGAAATAACTTTCTGTGGGTTAAAAATCATCAATATAGGTTTATGGTCCATAAGTAGTGTGAAGGGTCGACCATATATGTAAAGATGGAATTTCTTTACTGCCCATACTAGTGCCAGAGCCTCTTTATCTATTTGAGAATAGGTTTTTTCTGCAGCTGTGAGCGATCTAGAGGCAAAACCCACTGGCCTGTCTGTCCCATCAGCCATGGAATGAGACAGTCCGTAAGGTGATGCATCACAAGCAATGGAAACTGGCTTTTCCAAGTCGTAGTGTACTAAAAGATGTGAACTACGAACTAGTTCTTTTGACTTATGGAAAGCTGAAGCACATTCTACTGTCCAGTGCCATTGTCATTTACTCTCTAGAAGACGATGTAAAGGGTACAGGACATGAGCTAAATTTGGCAAAAAACTGTTGTGATAATTTAACAGACCAAGATAGGACCTTAGTTGTGTCACATTTTGTGGAGTTGGAGCATCCTGTAATGCCTTGACCTTCTCATCTGTTGTGTGCAGCCCATGTTTGTCAATTACATGAGCGCAAAATTCAAGAGGATCCTGCATGAATTGGCATTTATCCAAATTCACCTTCAATCCATATTCCATAAGTCTTTGCAAAACTGCCTCTACATTCTGTTTACAGGTGATACTCGAAAAATTAGAATATTGTGCAAAAGTTCATTTATTTCAGTAATGCAACGTAAAAGGGGAAACTAATATATGAGATAGACGCATTACATGCAAAGCAAGATAGTTCAAGCCGTTATTTGTCATAAGTGCGATGATTATGGCTTACAGCTCGTGAAAACCCCAAATCCACAAGCTCAGTAAATTAGAATATTGTGAAAAGGTGCAATATTCCAGGCGCACAGTGTCCCACTCTAATCAGCTAAGTAAGCCATAACTCTGAGCCTTTAAATGGTCTCTCAGTCTGGTTCAGTAGGAATCACAATCATGGGGAAGACTGCTGACCTGACAGTTGTGTAGAAAACCATCATTGACACCCTCCATAAGGATGGAAAGCCTCAAAAGGTAATTGTGAAGGAAGTTGGATGTTCCCAAAGTGCTGTATCAAAGCACATTAATAGAAAGTTATGTGGAAGGGAAAAGTGTGGAAGAAAAAGGTGCACAAGCAGCAGGGATGACCACAGCCTGGAGAGGATTGTCAGGAAAAGGCCATTCAAATGTGTTGGGGACTTTCACAAGGAGTGGACTGAGGCTGGAGTCAGTGCATCAAGAGCCACCACACACAGGCGGATCCTGGACATGGGCTTCAGATGTCGTATTCCTCTTGTCAAGCCGCTCCTGAACAACAAACAACGTCAGAAGCGTCTTACCTGGGCTAAAGAAAAACAGACCTGGTCTGTTGCTCAGTGGTCCAAAGTCCTCTTTTCTGATGAGAGCAACTTTTGCATCTCATTTGGAAACCAAGGACCCAGAGTCTGGAGGAAGAATGGAAAGGCACACACTGCAAGATGCTTGAAGTCCCGTGTGAAGTTTCCACAATCTGTGTTGATTTGGGGAGCCATGTCATCTGCTGATGTTGGTCCACTGTGCTTCATTAAGTCCAGGGTAAACGCAGCCATCTACCAGGAGATTTTGGAGCACTTCATGCTTCCTTACACAGAAAAGCTTTATGGGGATGCTGACTTCATTTTCCAGGACGACTTGGCACCTGCCAACACTGCCAAAAGCACCAAAGCCTGGTTCAATGACCGTGGGATTACTGTGCTTGTTTGGCCAGAAAACTCGCCTGACCTGAACCCCATAGAGAATCTATGGGGCATTGCCAAGAGAAAGATGAGAAACATGATACCGGACAATGCAGAAGAGCTGAAGGCCGCTATTGAAGCATCCTGGTCTTCCATAACACCTCAGCAGTGCCACAGGCTGATAGCTTCCATGCCACGTCCCATTGAGGCAGTAATTGCTGCAAAAGGGGCCCAAACCAAGTACTGAGTCCATATGCATGCTTATACTTTTCAGAGGTCCAATATTGTTCTATGTACATTCCTTGTTCTATTGATTGCATGTAATATTCTAATTTACTGAGATTGTGGATTTGAGGTTTTCATGAGCTTTAAGCCATAATCATTGCACTTATGACAAATCACGGCTTGAACTATCTTGCTTTGCATGTAATGTGTCTATCTCATATATTAGTTTGCCCTTTTACGTTGCATTACTGAAATAAATTAACTTTTGCACGATATTCTAATTTTTCGAGTATCACCTGTATGTTCCTCCTCTGATTTACCCGTCACCAGCATGTCATCTAATAGACACTGTGTCCCAGGAATTCCAGCTAACAGCTTGTCCATTGTTCGCTGCCAGAAAGCTGGTGCAGGTGAAATGCCAAAAACCATACGGTTATACCTGAATAGTCCCCGATGGGTATTAATCGTAAGTAGTGGTCGAGAATCTGGATGTATAGATAACTGTAGGTATGCATTTTTCAAGTCAGTTTTGGTGAATTGTTGGCCACTCGCCAATGATGCAAAAAGATCATCTACCCTAGGAAGGGGATACTTATCTATTTTAAGCTGTGTGTTAAGTGCCATGCGGATATCCCCACAAATCCGTATCTCCCTGTTTCGTTTTCTCACAGGAACAATGGGCAAAGCCCACTCACTATTGTGAACCCGGGAGATGATATTCAGCTTCTCTAATCTCCTCTATTCTGCCTCCACTCCAGCTCTTAGAGCAAATTGCACACTTCTTGCTTTGAAAAAGTTCGGTGTTGCTCCTACCTTTAATTCTAAGGAAACTTGTTGTCCCTTAAAAGTCCCCAATTGGCCATCAAACACTTGTGCATACTTCTCCTGTAATTCCCTAATCCAGTCAAGTCTGGTCTGATTTTCATTCAACACATGACATGGATACTTATGCACTTGAGGCATCCCAAGAGCCTTTATCCACTCCCTTCCAAAAAGTGGAGGTCCTCCTTTCTCTAAGATATAGAGATGTAGTTTCTTCTTACACTTGTTGAATGTAACTGTGACTGTCACACAACCCACTGGTATTAACAGCTCTTTAGAATATGTTTGCAGTCTCGCTGTTGTCTTGATACCGGAGAAACTGATGGAAGCAAAGCACAGAGGGATGGACACAGGTTTCTTCAGGAAGGAAGAGATTCTTTATTGGATCACCGATCGGGACTCAGAGGGACTAATGTCACCAAAAATACAGCAAGTTCTGAGCCCTGAACAATAGTGCAGGCTCCCTATATAGGCACATAACTCCTCCCATATTAAGCTCCACCCGCACATTCTCTTGACCAATCATTACAAATAAGAATTAACTTCCTGCTTGACCGCATGGCTTGTCCAGCACAATGGAGGAGGGGAATACTACATCCTGTATTCTTGCACATGCTCCGTACACTACTGATCGTATCTTGCCTCGTGCAACCAACTGATCGATACGTCAGCATATGCACGTACACATGCCACGTGGTAATCTCGGTCTACTAAATTTATTTTTACCGAGATTCCACCACAGTCTGAATTATTGGCCTACATATTTTAAGGCGTTTCCAGTCTGTTAATGAAATCACAGATACAGCTGCACCTGTGTCCAAATCCATAGTCAGTTCCTTTCCATTTACAACAACCTGAACTGTGAATGCAGCCAGATTAGAACCTATTTTATATATTTTTACATTTTGT